ACTTGTTTTACAGAGAGCACACAACAGAGCCTCTGAATACATTGTCCTACAAGGTCACAAATCCATTCCCACGATTGTAATCTGTGACAGCTGCAAGCTCCCTGGAATTAGTTACAGTTTCACAGTCCCCCTCTAGGGGGGAAACTTCTGGTTGTTCTTTCTTTTAAGGACAATAGCAACAAAGTTTCTTTTTAAGATATTTTGTCCATATTTGTTCCTTTAAAATGCGAAAGGAAACAATGGAATCACAATGTTACTCTTCTTTTAGCTATCTGTCAAAAACATTTGTCTCTGGTCAATGAGCTTCAAACGTCAATTCTGACACCCCGCTCCAGGATCAGGGCGGTGGAAAGTTACTTTCTTTTAAACTCACTTCTGCAGGTTTAAACAGTCCAAAAAAGATCCCCCTTCTTCTCCTGCTACCGAAGGGGGGTTCAACAATTTTAAATGATGAAAGCCAATCCTTTAAAAACGATTTTCTAAGCTCTAGTTTACGTTGTCTTTGCTTTATTCTGACTACAAGGAAACGGAAGGCTGACTTCCTGTTTAGACCTTCCCGTTTCAGTACCAAATTAAGGTAAATTTTTAAGTCCAATTCCTTTCTGCTCGCCAGTTCTTATTTCAAGTCCAATTGTTCAATGTTTAAGTACTCACGGGTGATTATTTTGGATGCCAAATTGTCCCAGGAAAAAGGCAGCGCTCTCCGGCAACGGCTATGCGGCTTCGCTCCACGGAAAAAGCAATTGACTCACGGCACCGCGCCACTTCCCCCTCTTCGCTTCGGAGCCCGTTAGTGGGTTCCTTTGCGGGTTGGGGGGGCGCTAAGGGTGCCCGCCGAGTCCCACGGTCACAGGCTTCATCCGCCTGTGATTTCTAGAAGGGTCCCCACTTCGCCGTAGCGGAAAGGACCCGTTTCGCGCGGAGCTGGTCCCTCCAGTTCAGAGGGAGTCCGCCATTGCCGATGGCGCCACCCCGGAAGTCTAATCCAGAAAATAATTGTTTTATTTGGTTTTTATCTCCCTAAGGAGCTGATGGCAGTATACAAGGTGCCATTAGGTTTCCTCCCCCCAAAAAAGCCTACAGGTCCAGGACATCCCAAATACTAGTTGACCAGTTCTGCCCATTAATAGGAAGCTACATTTTGGAGTACAGGTTTACAAAATTCCATTGGAAGCTACATACTTAGATGATGGTACCACTCCCATGAGATGGGAAGAACAAATGTTGTTCTCTGTTTCCCTTCCCTAACAAAAAAGCTGAACATCTGCAGTAAGACATCCTGAGATGGGGACAAATTCTTGACTCAGTAGCTCACTGACCCACCCATCATGAATAGCAGGGTTGGTGACCAATGTGGCCCCAGTTCCTAGGTTATGTTTGCATTTTGTGGAAGGACAAATCCCATTTTGCACACACAAAAATAAATCATCCTCTCATTGGAGCTATAAAAAGGGAAGCAAACTAGCCCTCTGGCAATGAGCAAACAAAACTCAGAAGAGCCTGGTGTATCCTGGGATCAGCTGTTGGTTTGGTACTTTCAAGTAAGCACACACTTGAAGAATGCCACGTAAAGGCAAAACCCGGAGAATCAGCAATTTTAGTTCCTTTTTCAAATTAACATCAGAGAAACAATTCTAGGAACAACCCCATGCTCAGAATAAAATGTTGTCATTTTGTTGGCCCACTGGTAGGAGCACCACTAAGCTTGCTTCTAGCTATCGCTGCTACTGGCATTGAATATTATGCTATGGCTTATTTATATATTACCTTTTGGCCAACAGACCATTGAAAGCAGTGAACAGCACGTTAATTGGTTCCCAACAATCACAAAGACTGCATTGGCTTGACAACCAGAAATGAACATGAGAATTGGGCCACATGGTCAGCTGAACTGAGTCCCATTCCAGCTGAACAGGACAAACTAAAGAACATGTTTTGCTCTGCCACATCGCCTGTGGTACATGAACACATCTGGGAGAGTGAAACTGTAGAGCCTCAATTCACTCTCCAGATTCCTGTCGAGCCCTCAGGAATTCAGCTAAAATGAGAAAGCATTCATAAAACTGCAAAGTTCCTGGAGGGATGAAATGAGATACGGTCAAGGAAAAGCCATTTTGGGACCCATGAGACAGACAAAGATTTTGGACCATTCTGGTTTTGTGTGGGATTTTATGGCTTCATGAGTGACACTGAGGGGGCTGAAAAGTATGCAGAGCTGATGGGGGGGATCACAATTTGTGACATTGCAAGAACTCTGAAACTGGGTGGAGCTATGGAAAGAGAAGGAAGCCAGTCAGCCCAAGAGAGACATCATTCTCTGGAAGGGTGTCATGAATGAATGGAGCAGAAGGTTTCACTAACCATAAACTATCATTCCTTGTTCATATCCGCATTATATCATCTAAAGCACCCTTATACCACTTTACGTTTCATGGCTTCCCCCCAAGCACCATTGGAACTGTAGTTGGTTCAGGGTGCTGGGAATTGTAGTTGTTAACAACCCTCACCCCTCTCAGTGAACTACAGTTCCCAGGATTCTTTGCGGAAAGCCATAGTTTTCGCTATAGTTCACAGTGTGCTTCCAAACTGCCACTGTTTTCAGTGGGATTCAGTCACATACAGGTAAATTGAGGTTTCACAATTAAAGGTGACTTGCAGCTCTCACACAGAAACATATTCTCACACAGAAAAAGTGGACATTGCAATAAGGAAAGGGAAAAAAACCTGCCCTGGAAAGTGTGGGATAATACTTGCTTGATGCAATGGCATACTACCTCCCAACAAACAATTCAGGATGAATGCTCAATAAACAACTTGTTTGCAAGTGACCGTGCACTTATCAGTTTGGAAGGAAATGGTCTTCTCTTGACATACAGGGCAAGATTCTCAAGAAGTCAAATCTCAGCTCTTCCTTCCAAGGTATGAATTTCCAAGCATAGACCAGGAGTGACGAAATGAATTTTTATCAAAGAAAAGTACTGTGTTTTTTGCTCTATAAGACTCACTTTCCCCCTCCTAATAAGTAAGGGGAAATGTGTGTGCATCCTATGGAGCGAATGCAGGCTGCACAGCTATCCCAGAAGCCAGAACAGCAAGAGGGATTGCTGATTTCACTGCGCAGCGATCCCTCTTGCTGTTCTGGCTTCTGAGATTCAGAATATTTTTTTTCTTGTTTTCCTCCTCCAAAAACTAGGTGCGTCTTGTGGTCTGGTGCGACTTATACAGCGAAAAATACGGTAACTTGTGATGCCCATGGAACCATGATGAACTGGCCATCAATTGGATGCAGTGGTGGAGGAACCCTCTTGGCACCTGAGGCGGGATGCCGAGGGGCGGGGCAAACTTCCTGTTGGCGCATGCATGGCATCCCGTACGGACTGTGCACACGCAGCAGCCCGTACAGACACCATGCGAGCGGTGCCCTTCCTTTGTATGCCCCTGATTGGACGCATCAACCCAACTGCACCAGAGGACATTTCAACATTAAAACCTGGAGATGATCATACTGTAGGCTGAAAGCAGGAGATCCAGCCTTTTGAGTGTAACTCCTTGATGTCAGGGGAGTTTGGGACACTAACCCTGCAATTTCAGCTAGCATAAATAACCGGCCGGTTCCAAAACAAGCAGTGTGCTGCACCACCAAGAGGAGAAAGGAATATTCTTAGCCAGCCAGCGCAACCTGAGCTACTTTAATGACCACGTCTCTGTGTTAAGCACATGTAAATCACAACGAGGTTTCGATATCCAGCTATTTTAGAATGCATTGCTGCATGGCATTCCAAAGGCTTACTCAGATTTCTGCATTGTTGAGATAGAGTCCCTGTATCTTCTCCCCATCAGCTTAGTGAGGGGGATTTTGCTGGGAAGGTTTAAAAGGGGAAGAGCTATTAACAACTTCTCTCTGTCACACTTCCTCTAGTCAGATTCTCAGCCTGCCCAGGCAGCTCAGAATACAGGAATGCAGAGGAAAGAATGGTAAGATTCTGCCCAATGTGTAAATTGAACCTCAGCCACGTTTGTTTCCTATGTCTGCCTTAAACATCTTCTAGCCCCTCAGCTCTCTGATAACTGACAACTGCCCAAGACCGCAAGTCTGCTGACTCCTATGACAAGTCTGTATGTCATATTAGTCTGATTAGTCTGTATGAAGACCTCCAAGGAGCATATTTCTGAAACTTCTAAGAGAGCACACAAAAAGGTCTAAATCGGCAGGGACACCTCACACACAGAGAATAATAATAATAATAATAATAAATTTTATTTATATCCCGCCCTCCCCAGCCAAAGCCAGGCTCAGGGCGGCTAACAACAAATAAATAATCAAACAATTAAATAATCCAACATTCTAAAACATTTCATTATAAAAATTAATTAAAATCAAATTAATGGCAACCGTTGAGCAAAGTTCTGTGCAGGTTGCCGGAGGTGGGAGTCAGGCTGGGCCCTGACCAAAGGCCTGGTGGAACAACTCTGTCTTGCAGGCCTTGCGGAAAGATGTCAGGTCCCGCAGGGCCCTAGTCTCTTGTGACAGAGCCGTTCCACCAGATTGGAGCCGCAGCCGAGAAAGCCCTGGCTCTAGTTGAGGCCAGCCTAACCTCTCTGAGGCCTGGGACCTTCAGGATGTTTTTATTTGCAGACCGTAGGTTTCCTCTGTGGGGCATACCAGGAGAGGCGGTTCTGTAGGGTACGAGGGTCCTAGGCCGTATAGGGCTTTAAAGGTTAAAACCAGCACCTTAAACCTGATCCTGTACTCCACCGGGAGCCAGTGCAGCTGGTATAGTACCGGATGAATGTGATCTCGCAGCGAAGACCCCATAAGGAGTCTCGCCGCGGCATTCTGCACCCGCTGGAGTTTCTGGGTCAGTCTCAAGGGCAGCCCCACGTAGAGCGAGTTACAATAATCCAGTCTGGAGGTGACCGTCGCGTGGATCACAGTGGCTAGGTCAGGGCGAGAGAGATAAGGGGCCAACTGCTTAGCTTGGCGGAGATGAAAAAATGCCGCAGTAGTTCAGTGGTAGAGCATCTGGTTGGCATGCAGATCATCCTAGGTTCAATCCCTGACATCTGAAGGAAGAACTGGAGATCTCAAACTCTGGAAAACCACTGCTAGTTAGGGTAGACAATACTCAACTTGATGGGCCAATGTTCTAACTCAATAGAAGGCAGCTGTACATCAGGTATGGAAATATTTAGCCCTCCAGACATTGCTGGACTGCAATTCCCATCATCCCTGACCATTGGCCATGCTGGCTGGGGCTTATGGGAATTGGAGTCTAACAATATATGGAAGGCCAAAGACTGCTCTGGGGACAAGCCCTCAGATGCAAAATCCAAAGCATTTGGGAGATTCCTGTAGTCTATGTGTGTGTGTGTGTGTGTGTGTGTGTGTGTGTGTGAAGCCTTTCAATTAAAATAAAATTTAAATGTGCAAAGCTGCTTTCTATGATACATTGGATATGCCTCCATAATGGCCTTTTCATGATGTGCAGTCTGCTTTTTATCAAGTCAGATCATTGGTCCATTTAGCTCAGTATTACCAATACTGACTGGCAGAAGCTTTCCAGAGTTTCTAACAAAAGGTTTTCCTTGTCCTACCTGGGACAGGGATACCACAAATTGAACCTGAAACCTTCTGCATGCAGTGCAGATGTTCAACCACTGAACTGTAGGCCAGGGGTCAGCAAACTTTTTCAGAAGGTGGCTGTTTTCCAACTGTCCCTCAGATCTTGTGGGGGGCTGGACTATATTTTTTTTGGGGGGTAGGAATGAATTCCTACCCCCCACAAATAACCCAGAGATGCATTTTAAATAAAAGGACACATTCTACTCATGTAAAAACACACTGATTCCCAGACCGCCTACAGGCCAGATTTAGAAAGTGATTGGGCCGGATCCGGCCCCCGGGCCTTAGTTTGCCTACCCATGCTGTAGGCCTTCCACCCAACAGAGATCTCTAGATATCAGGTTACTATCCCCTAACTCCCCTAAATGCCTTTAAGTGAACACATTGTCTCTTTTTCAACCTTACAAGTCACATAACCACTGAGTGAAGAAAAGCTCATATGTGATGGCATCATCAAATATGAAAGAGTCACATGCTATGTGCATTGCTAATTATAATTGCATCAGGTCCCCATGAGAGCATGGGTCCAGGGCCACACCCATTTACTTAAATTCAAGTAGAATGCTAAGATAGAAAGAGTACATGTTAAAACATTCTACATAAAATTATTCATTCTTAATTTAACCTGGCATGTGGTGGGACTTTAGAGTACCTTCATTGTACCACATCTAATGAAGCCATAGCTCTCCAAGCCCATAGAAGATTGGCTTTGAAATCCTTTGTGCCAAAGAAAGGACTTTCTTACTTACTTTCACAAAGTCTTCTCCTCAGTTTCCCACGTATCTTGTCAATAGCATTGTAATCTGAGACATGGAACACATGGGCGGACTTGGGCTCTGAAGCAATTTCATCCAGCTCTTCTTTGAGGGCCTCACCAACCCCTACAGCAAAGATCCTTATGCCCGCTTTATGAGCTGCAGTGGCCGGATCCAAGACATAATCCTGGCTCCGGCCATCCGTCAGAAGAATAGCCACTTTTTTGATGGTGCGGTCACTTGGCCTCCCACCAGCCTCCGTGGAAAAGCTGTATGTGTTGATGTACCGTAGGGCATCACCAGTATTTGTATTGCCCCCGTAGTATTTGATATTCCTTGCAGCTTCTTTGATCTCCTCCCGAGTCCGATATTTCCCAAGCTCAAATTCAGTAGTTGGTCTGTCGCTATAGCGGACAACACCAACCCGGGTTTTGTCTGGTCCAATCTCAAAAGTGTCTACCAGATTAGCCACCCACTGGCGGACCTTCTCAAAGTCTTCTTTCCCCACGCTGGAGGAGGTGTCCAAGATGAAGACGAGGTCATAGTGGACGTTCTTGCAACCTGCAAGGGGAAAATGAGTATCTCCTGAGACATGGTAGAGGAAGACAGCCACCAACATCACAACATCTGGGGACATTTCTGCTCATCATAGCAATTTCTGCTTGGGGGAATGTCTGGTCAGCCTTCCACAGAACATGTTCCACCTTGGAGAACCATCACAGAGTCTGTTCTTAGAGTTTAGTAAGGCCCAAAGCAGATCTGAAAACAGATTTTGCTTTGTTATGCAAACTTTCTCTCTTTTCTCTCTCTGTTGTGGCTGCTGTGCTTTCGCCTACTCTGTCTGCATGTCTATGAGGCAACTATTTTCTTTTGAAATCTTAACAGACTGCTCTCTGTTCCCCCTCCTTCCATTCCCCTTTAACTCAACATGCTTAAGAACTTTTTGGCAGATCAAGAGTTGCCTGCCTTCAAACCTGCCTTCACAGACAGTAATAGCAAACAGTTGGCATTCCATGTTCTCATTTAAAAGCACCATTATATTTTATTTATTGTCAGCCTGGAGAAATGCTTTCTTTTACAGTGGTGAGAAGTTTTACAAGATTTGTTATATATATACAAACAACAAAACCTAAGTGTTGACAAGGGGGTGAATCATTGGACTGGAGATTGAGTTTTTTGACAACTGAAGAATTCAATTGCTAAGGAAGTGTTGCTAAATGCCAGTGAAGAGCAAGTCAAGGATCAAACCCAGGACACCATTTTGAGAGAGCAATAGGGCATCTTGACCTCATATTTCAAAGCATACATGATTATGCCTGAATAAAGCTTTTAACTTTGACCAAGTCAGTGCTTTCATGCACTGAATGAATGCAGTTTTAGACCAATGACTTTCAAACTATGTTCCAAAGAGCTTCTTCAGAGGTTTATCAGAGATTCTTCAGAAAGGCTCAGTGAACATAATGTCCTTGAAGGACTCATTGGACTTAATTAAACTTGCATTGGCTGCTGATATGCTACTAGGCCAGGTTCAAGTTTTGTGAATTAATTTTCAAGGCCCTTAGCAACTTGATACCTTAAGGCTCATCTGACTTTTTTAATCCCTACCCAATCACTGAGGTCTTCTGCATATCTTATAGCCACCAGGATCTCATCACTACGGGTCCAATTCTGTGCAACTTCCTCCCAGCTGTGATCAGACAGATTCCCTCCCTGTTGATCCTCAGTGAAGACTTCCTTTTTATTATTTCAACTGGGTATTTGAAGGAAGCTTTCCTAATTTTATGGTTAACTGATCTTAAGCTATAAATGATTAAATAAATCAACAAATAAATAAACACACTTTTGCAATGCATAGCTCCAGATAAGCATGTTCTAGGATACGATCTCAGTAGTCATGAGGGCAACAGGAAGATTTAGGAGGCCACGACAGTCTTCTGTGTGAACTGACAGTGCAGTATGGAATAGGCCCCAGAATCTGTTGAAACATGCAGGGATTCCATACCAGAAACAAGGGACCTCTTCAACAAACACATGCATTCCTAACCACAAATCATTTTTTGTCATGCATTTCATTCCTACTGCCAGTTTGTCTCAATCTTCGGCAGTTACATCTATGACTAAGATCACAAGTGTTTATCAGATCATTTGTCAATTGATCTAATGAAAGACACATATCCCTTTCAAAACACTGCATCCCCCTCTTTCTTCCAGAATTTTAGCAGAGTCCTACATGCTGCCTACATGATCTACAATGGAATAGTGGCTATGCATTTTTCTTTAAAGGCAATTCCCATTGGGTTCAACAGAATTCACTTCCAAGTAAATGTATGTGGGATTGCAACCTTGCAACCTGACCTACCAATTGAGAAGTCCTTGGTTCACCTGTCACCTTGGCCAAGAACTAGCCAAGTGATCTTGGGTAAGCCACTAGGACTCTGCCCCAGTCACCAGAACACAGAGGTAATAAATAATGTTGATCTACCTTATAGGGTTGTTGTCTGGATTACTGAAACTCTATATAAGAAATGCTATTTTTTAAAAAAATAAAAAAAAATAAAAGTCATGTATTATCAAGTAGTGATGTATGGAAGTGAAAGCTGGACCATAAAGAAGGCTGATCACCAAAGAATTGATGCTTTTGAATTATGGTGCTGGAGGAGACTCTTCAGAGTCCCATGGACTGCAAGAAGATCAAGCCTATCCATTCTGAAGGAAATCAGCCCTGAGTGCTCACTGGAAGGACAGATCCTGAAGCTGAGGCTCCAATACTTTGGCCACCTCATGAGAAGAGAAGACTCCCTGGAAAAGACCCTGATGTTGGGAAAGATGGAGGGCACAAGGAGAAGGGGACAACAGAGGACAAGATGGTTGGATAGTGTTCTCGAAGCTACCAGCATGAGTTTGACCAAACTGCGGGAGGCGGTGGAAGACAGGAGAGCCTGGCGTGCTCTGGTCCATGGGGTCACGAAGAGTTGGACATGACTAAACAACTCAACAACAAAAAATTATCCATTTCAGACTTTTGATCTGCTGCCATTCTACTCTATATGTTTATCCGCCACATGACGTGAAAAAAATAAAAAAACCAAATCATTCCTTTGTCTATAATTCAATTACAAAGAGTGCCCCTGCTTACCTGCTCTCTGTGCCTGAACGTTCTCTCCACCCCAAAGGAGCAAAAGCAGTATCAAGGTGGAAGGTATCGAGTATCTTCCTGCAAAGGACATGACTCCCTTCTTCTTCTCCAATATAGTATTCCCTTTGTTCCTTCCACAATGGTAGTTATTCTACATATCCATGTCTAGGAGAGGGGAGAGAAAAAGACACAGGAAAAATTAGAGCAAAATGTAATTATTATGTGAAGGAATCACCAACCCGCAAGGGGAGGAGGAGAGAGGAAGAATATTAGAGGAGGAGAAAATAAGAAATGGTTTTCCAACTGTACATCTTTTCATTGGAAAGCTGCTTCCTCTCCTGGTTTTCCTCGAGACGCTGCAAACTGTACACAGACAAAAGCAACAGTGCAGAGTTCACCAGTGTGCAAAAAAGCAGCTTAAAATGTCTTTGTTACAAGCACAAGCCCAGTTATCTGAAGAGAGAAGATTAGCACATTATTTAGGTTGACGCGAGTCCTTCTTTGATAGTACACTCAAGGCAACAGACCAGAAATTATCCCCAGGGCTGGGCCCCTCCATGTTAAACTTGTGCCTCCCTGGGATGTTTATTTACAATCATTCCCTCTGAACAGAACTGATTGAACATTGTGAGATTATACCCACAGCAGTGTCCCTGGCTGCTGCTGTATATGTTTGACCTCCCTGTGTAAATCTTTCTGCCTCCTGCAAAATAAAAAATAAAAACAGTTTCTTCTGAGGAGCATGGCTGTAAATAGGAGGTGATGTAGGGAAGAGGAAGAGGCAGAATAGGAGCTGATTAAGAACATAATAAGGACTTAGGCCAAAGACCTATATAATTCAGCATCCTGTTATTCCAGTGTCCAACCAGATGCAAGCAGGAGCTACTGTAAGTCCAACTTGTGATTCTCAGTGACTGGTATTCGGAGACATATGAAAGTCAGGCTTGAAGGCTCAGGCTGGGCCTACATGTGTAGCAGAACATGGTGGACAAATACATACCGCTTAACCACCAATAAGCTTCTGGCTGGATCCCAGAATGTCCCGTTTTTTGGTCCAGAGCTTGTACCAGAGCACAAGGCCAAAAGATGATCATTCAGGCATGAGTCAACTGGGTTGCGCTGGAATGAAAGCCTCTCACTCTTTGGTCTTGTAAGACC